AGCAGAAGAAGGAAGGAAGAGCATGGGAAAATGGGTGGAGGCACTTGAGCCATGATGGCTGCGAACACCGCCGCTAGGTTGCCATGAGATAGCATGACGCCCTTGAGGGGAGGGCGGGAGAGCAGGGATGGGAGGGCAGAAGAAGGAAGGAAGAGCATGGGAAAATGGGTGGAGGCACTTGAGCCATGATGGCTGCGAACACCGCCACTAGATTGCCGTGTGATAGCATGACGCCCTGAGGGGAGGGCGGGAGAGCGGGGATGGGAGGGCAGAAGAAGGAAGGAAGAGCATGGGAAAATGGGTGGAGGCATTTTAGCCATGATAGCTGCGAAGACCGCCACTAGGTCGCCATGTGATAGCATGACGCCGTGGAGAAAGGGAGGGAGGGCAGGGCAGGAATCGAGGCAGTCAGGGTGACCACTTGAGCCACGCGGGCTGCAAATATGGTGTGTTTATGTTAACGTGCAAAAGCACGACTATTTTAGCACTGAATCAACTCTCATTCTTCTTCTCCTTCACCGTTTCCTTTACCTTGGGCAGCCCAGTCGATCCCGATGTGTGCATGATCACATCCAAGAGTCAGTTTTGTTAGCTGCTGGTACTGAACAAACACCATCTGCTCCATCTGACTGACACTCGCTCACCTTGGGCAGCCCAGTCGATCCTGACGTGTACATGATCACCGCCAAATCCGACGGCTGCGGGAGCTCCGGCGTCACCAGCGACTCAACGCCGCTCTTCTCCACGTCAGCAAACGCCAGCAGCTTGACACCTGGCGCCAGCTGACCCGTCGCCACTTTAGCCTCTGCTTCGGTGGGCCCCTTGCCAGCCTCGGACAGCGGGCGAGGCTCGGGCATCATGATGACGCGCTTCACTGTCTTGAGCTCGCCCTTGGAGGACGCTTCCTCGAGCTTCTCCAGCTGCTTGTGGTCACAAATGACCGTGGTGACCTCCGTCTGCAGTTTTGAGGGAGGAAGGGAGGGGGGAGAGCGAGGAAGGTGTGAGCATGGATTTAGCCTGGAAACCCCTCAGCACCAGCCGCCGCGTGGGCAGCTTGGCCTCTGCTTTCCTATGCTCTGCTGGCCTCTGCGTCAGGGGGTCAATTGCTTGCTTCGGACAGCGGGCGGGGCTCGGGCATCATGATGACGCGCTTCACTGTCTTGAGCTTGCCCTTTAAGGACGCCTCCTCCAGCTTCTCCAGCTGCTTGTGGTCGCAGATCACTGTCGTCACCTCCGTCTGTCGTGGGGGAGGGGGGGTCGGGGGGTTTGACGGGTGTGGGACCAGGGGGAGGCAGGGGGAAGCTTCCTCGAGCTTCTCCAGCTGCTTGTGGTCGCAGATCACTGTCGTCATCTCCGTCTGAAGCGACAAAAAGGAGGGGGTAAAGGACGAAGGGGAGCGGGAGCGGGGGTGTTTGAAGGGCGGGGGTCGGGAACAGCAGCGAGGAAGGGGCGCTTGTGTGGGAGATGACAGACCTCTGTCTGTCTGCAGCGAGGCAGGGGTGGGGTGACAGGGGGAGGGGTATATTTTTGAGGCGCCCAAAAAACATGCAGTGGATACCTCTGTCCGTCTGCTTTGGGGCAGGGATGGGGTGACAAGAAGAAGGGGGGAGGGTAGGAATAAATAACCACAGCAGCCAATTCAACTCACCTGCAACTATCACCAGGCTCTGCAGAAATGCGTCCACTGTAATAACCCCATCCCCAACCCCAACACCCACACCAGCCCAACCCCACCCCCATCCTACCTCATTCAATGCATGCACCAAGGCCTCCTGCCCCAGGGACGCATACACCGTCACCACCACGAGGCTCTGCTGAAACGCCCCTTGCAGCGCCAGGTAAAAGTCCGCCCTGGTCTCCGCCACAATCGCCACCGCCTCCCCGCGCCCATGCCCCACATTCCTTAACCCCCCGCCAAACGCCTCCGCCCTATCCAACGCCCGAGAGTACGACTCCCACTCATACTCCCCGAATTCAAGCTTTTCTATCTCCTTGCCCTCCTCGTTGATCACTGTTTCTCGTGAGATGAATTTCCGCGTGCCGAGGAGCGGGCGGTGGTGGTGGCGGCGGGACGCGATGACGAAGAGAGAGGCGACGGTGGTGGCGCCGTCAAAGGGGATTTCGAGCAGCGTGGGGAAGTGCGCGTGGCGGTAGGTTAGACCGGGGGTGCCTGCGTCGAGGAGAACCCCGTACAGATGCTTCTTGGGTTTGGAGCTGGGGGATAGGGTGGGGCAGAAGGGGGAGAGGAGAAAGGAAATTTCGAGCAGCGTGGGGAAGTGCGCGTGGCGGTATGTCAGGCTGGGCGTGCCTTCATCAGGCAGCACCCCGTACAGATTGGTTTTTGAGAATTCTAAAAAACGTGCTGGTTTTTGAGAATTCTCAAAAACCAGAATTCTCAAAAACGTGCGCGTGGCGGTATGTCAGGCTGGGCGTGCCTTCATCAGGCAGCACCCCGTACAGATTGACGACCCGGAGCGGGAATCGCTGAGAATCTGCTGGAAAATCCCATAATCGAGCACTGAATGCAGCGCACGGTTACTCCAGGTACTGCACGGTGATGACGATGATCGGCAAGGCCACGCGCACGGGAATCACGACTGGGTTGAATTCGTCCCGTTTGAAAAATACACTCATCAGTTAATGCTAGTCCAAGCAGCGACGGTTACCTGAGGTACTGCACGATGACGACGACCAGGAACGTCACGGTGACCGGAATGATGAAACGGTTGGATTCCGCTTTCTGAATACGACAACGATCAGCCGAAGCCAGTACAAGCAGCGATGGTACCTGAGGTACTGCACGATGAAGACGACAAGGAACGCCACGGCGACGGGAACGACGAGCGGGACGACCGAGTCGAATTCCACTTTCTAAAAAGGCCAACCATCAGCCAATGCTAGTGCAAGCAACCAGCGACGGTTACCTGAGGTACTGCACGATGATGACGACCAGGAACGCCACGGCGACGGGAACGACGAGCGGATTCAACCCCTCCATCGCCTCCGCGAGTCGCGGACCGATGATCGGAAGCATGCGAGCGATCTCCACCGACGCCATGGCGACACCAGCGGATGAAGACGTAAGCGAATCTAGAGAGATCTCGAAATACGCCTACAACACGACAATGAGAGTGCGACTGGTCTAAGAATAACCTTGTTCTCCCCAAGTAATCCTAAATTCAGGGCTACTCCCAAGTTCAGAGATAAAACCGAATCTGTGAAGTCGTTTCGGAAGCCTGGAAGGAAGCCTGAAAGGGGAAGAGCCTATTCCGCCTTGTTGTGACAGAGATCGACGGCGTGTGATGGATCTCTTGAGCAGCCTAATACTACTACCTCGGTAAAGCGAACGACCACATGCAATCTGCGGCTTGTGCAATGGCCAGATCGCACGCTACCTCGAGATCCACGCCTCGCGAATTCAGCAGTGAGCTCCCCGTGACGTACCCATGATTTGCTTCTCTCATCCCCATCAGGAATGAAGATTCGTGTGTCTGGACTGGAGTTGAAGTGGGAGTTGGTGATGGGTCGTATTTGTGGCGTGCAATTGTGCCTGTAATGAACGCCGCGAGTACATGAGCTGCAATATTCAACCCTAAAGTTTGAGATCGAATCTGACACCGCGAGCTGTACTACAGCCTAAAGAATGTCCTTCCAAAATAAACACGCCTTGAGGAGCAGGTGTTATCTGTTCGTGGTTTCTGGACCCACCTTCGCAATGTGCAAGCATTTCAACGAGTGGTCAGGATGAGCCTCGAGAATTTCAACGGTTGGATGGATGGATGGATGAAAAGTTGGCGCTTGGCCGCGGATGAAATCGCGCATCTTGGATCCGCCGAAGTTCGCGCGCTAGGGTAACGAGAACTCAAAATGCTGACCAGCGAGGTTACACCTGATTTTTGTTTGAGTCATCCATGTTTGCCTTGTAAAGAGGATGCTTAAGTGATTCTTACGTTTCGCAAAGGTTTTGTCCATTCGCAGCTAGCAAAAAAAGGATTCGTCAGGTGCTTATAAAATAATTGTAACTTATCCGTAGACATTTTGACATCAGTCTCTTCAGTTTGACTTCAGTCCCTTCGTTACTATTGGTTCCGAATCATTGCAACTTGCGCGGGGTTGTTGTAACGTGGGTGCAGCTGGCTGGGTAAAAAAACACGGGTGCAGGCTTTCCGTGGGGCACAGGGAAAATTTGCGTGCAGGAGATGAGCATTTTGTGTACAAGGCACAGAATTCCAGCATTTCAGGAGGGGCGTAGGCCTTGTAAAGAAACACTGGAGGATCCTTTCTCGCGTACAGCGCAGGACCTCAGCCAATCGGACGCGATTTGGCTCCACACATTCTGCGAAACAATCAAGCTTTTCCCGCCGTACGTCCAGCAAATCAGCGTCATTTCCAGCTCACCGGACAAGAGCAACCCCCACCACAAAAGCGCCCGCCCAAATCTCAACCACAACCCTGGTGTTGGTCGGATCAGAATTTGCGAATTCCGCGTGCTTTCGTAGCTTCTGTGCAAGCCCTTATGGACTTTTGGAAACAACGTTACCAATTTCGTTAACGCCCTCGTCAACTCCCCCTACCCTCCCCTCCCAATACCACCTTCCAGCACCCCAGAAACGTAGAACCATGGCTGTCATGAAGCTGTTTAGAGTTGTGACTGCCTCAGCTTCGAAGGCATTTGCACCATGCAGCTCTAGGCCTCGAATTCTGTAAAAGAACCCCTTTTTTCAAGAACTCGAAGCTCGAGCATTACAGTCCGAGCATTGTCTTTCTGGCCTGCATCCCATTGCGTCCAAATTCCGGATTCAGAACCTCTAGTTAAAACAACCCTTCACCAAGATAACACTCAGAGCTGTTTCTGTAGCTGCCCCTGTGCACGGATTAGGCTCAAGAGCAGGTAACGGGGGTCTTAGACGCCAATCTCCAGTGTCTTTCTCACCAGCTGCAGCATCCCTCTCCTGTCGCTCATTACACATTCCGTGTCTGTCGAGTAGCAGTCAGTCCTGATGGTTGGTTCGGCAACGACTACCACGCCAGCAGCAGAAGCGAACAGCGCTGAGCATCAAAATGAAGAATTTGATCCCAGGGGTACGGCGTAATGTAAATGCTCAGTAGTACATCCCGTTTCTTTTCCGAGATAACTGGAAACCCACGCGGCAGAACGTGCAGACCTGACAAGGAAAATGTAGGATGATCGTCCGCTTATTCTTTGTATTCCTGTCCCAGCGTGAAAGCTCCCGCATTTTTCACTGCGTACATGCGAGCTCAGTAACTAGGTCAGTTGGACTCTCAGACCGTTATTTCCCCAGGCCTTTTCAGACCGAGAAAAAAAAAAAAAAAAGGCACATTCCACTCCATTCTCCCATGCCGTTAACCTCTCTTGGTGCTTCCCTATTATCCGCATCTCCTTCCTTCCGCATCTCCTTCCTTCCGCATCTCCTTCCTTCCGCATCTCCTTCCTTCCGCATCTCCTTCCTTCCGCATCTCCTTCCTTCCGCATCTCCTTCCTTCCGCAGAAGTGTGCATAGTGGGAGCAGCGCGCACGCCCATGGGAAGCTTCATGGGATCGCTCTCCTCCCTCTCCGCCACCCAACTCGGCGCCATCGCCATCAGAGGTCAGGCGTCTCACTCTTGCATTCCACAACTCTTTGCTTTTACTTAAAGTGTTTTGAGACGTCTCAAAACACTTCTTCAGTCAGGCGTCTCACTCTTGCATTCCACAACTCTTTGCTTTACTTAAAAGTCACTTCATGGGTTCGCGCGCCTTCCTCTCCGCCACCCACCTCGGCCTTTGCTATTCCCACACGCTGCTTCTCGGCTCGGTTCAGCTCCATGGCCACGCTTTCCTCTCTCCTGTCAGCACCGAGGTCGTTTTTGAGGCGCCTCAAAAATCGGTTCAGCTCCATGGCCGCGCTTTCCTCTCTCCTGTCAGCACCTAGAGAGGCGATGCTCACCTGGACGCGCCTTCCTCCTTTCCCGTCTCTTGAGGCGCGTCAAAAACGATCTTCTTCTTCCCCGCCAGCACGACTTTGAGTTGACTCAAACATAGACAGGCGATACTCAGTTCCTTCCTCCTGGCTTTCCTGCAGAGGCTGTGGGAAGGTCGGACCTGGGGCCGGCGGATGTGGAGGAGGTGTATATGGGCAACGTGCTGAGTGCGGAACTGGGGCAGGGTGGATCTGGCGCAGGTTTCAACTGGTTTGCGCATAATCCACCTTCTAACTTCCCTTCGTTCCTGCAGAGGCTGTGGGGAGGTCGGGTCTGGGGCCGGCGGATGTGGAGGAGGTGTATATGGGCAACGTGCTGAGTGCGGATCTGGGGCAGGCCCCAGCCAGGCAGGCGGCACTTGGGGCAGGCCTGCCTGACTCCGTTGTGGCAACCACCGTCAACAAAGTCTGTGCCTCCGGCATGAAAGGTTTGTGATGCGGTGATGAGATGTGTGATGTGGTGATGAAGGTTGACAAGTGTTGATGAGGGGTGTGTTGAGGCATCTACGCGATCTGGACGTGCGCGTCACAGGTTGCGCACTACATAATAGTGAATGGAGTGCCTGTGCCTACAGCCATCGCCTTCATGGGTGCCTCAAAAGGCCGCTGCCCTGCCGCTCCTTTTCTCCGAAGTTCACCCCTTTTCCCCTAATTTCACCCCTTTTTCCCCTAATTT